CATACATGAAGTGGCTCCTTGTTCTAGTGTGTATTTGTATACATATATAATACCATAACTCTAAACCTAACCCCTAACCTACCAATGACATTGCTCCTTATGGGGCCCGGGCTTTGGACCCCATGAGGAAGCAGTTAGTCCTCACAATGTAGTTTGTGTTGGAAAAAATTGGTCCTTACAAGGTAACAAATACACACACACAAAATTATCCACTTCATGTATGTGTATACAGTATACACATGTATATCAACATGTATGCTTTATCCAACAGGTGGTGCTCTTGATGCCTTGCATTATTATAATTACCAGTATATTACTGTATATTGTATTATTATATATGTGTTATAATTTTAAAAAGTATGAGTCCTATGTTGCTGATTACGGCCACTTGTGTCCCTCCTTCAGTGGATATTTGGTCTGTGGGCTGCATCATGGCAGAGATGCTGCAAGGAAGAGCGCTTTTTAAAGGCGCCGATCGTATCCTTTTACCCTTCAGACGTTTTGTACATAAGTAAAACTGTGGCTCTTGTTTATCCATCATCATCTTTAAATAACACTTTTTTTTCCATGTCTTTGAGCCTTGACCCCTTCTCCTCAGACATAGATCAGCTGGAACAGATCTGGAAGATCACAGGAACACCGTCTCAAGAGTTTATATCTAAACTAGAATCTGAGGATGTGAGTTTGAATTCAGGATCTGCAAAACAATTTGGGTTTAGATGGGGGTTTTTTTTAATCTTGGAGTATTTGTGTTGCAGCGGGTATGTTTGAGTTTTACATACAAATATTAGAGGGGTGGCATCCTGATATTATAAAACACATCTTACAAACAATTAAGAATCTTATGGCGTGTTTGTGTGACCATGTTTGTCTTCATCAAGGCTAAAGATTACCTCAAAAAAGTTTCATCCAAGCCTAAGCCAGATCTTCATAAAGTGTTTTCTGCTGTTAATCCAGAAGGTAGGATGACCTCCTTTAGTTTAAATTTAGTCAACCTTCATCTTTAGTTGTTATTTTGAGTGTTTCTCCGTTGTACCTCCTACTTTAGCCGTGACTGTCCTGGAGCGCATGCTGCTGCTGGATCCAGAGGAACGGATAACTGCTGCAGAGGCGCTCACTCTGCCGTACTTTGCTGAATTCAGGGATCCAGAGGAGGAGACGGTGTGTGAGCCGTTCGACTACACTGTTGTCAACGCAGAACTGACGGTGGATCAGTGGAAACGTAAGGATAAAAACAGGGGAGAGGGGAGAAGGGTGATGGGGTGGCTGATCAATAGCGGAAGAGGCCAATCAAATCAATACGGAGGATGTAATTTCAGAAGAATGGAGAAGGAAACAGGCGTCATGAGCTGTTGTTTTAATTATTAAAGTCTTGCTGCCCTTCATTCTGCAGGTCACACCTTCACTGAGATCTTGACCTTCAAACCTGTTTTGATCAATTCCAAGGAGTCGACCCTATAAGGGGTCAATTTGACGATACAAACTGGGACCAGAACAAACCAGAACAACTCAACCAAGAAACTGTTTTTAACTCCGAGGCTTAATGAACGAGCCAACTGTTGACGACTTCACAGTATCTTGATGTCTTCAGATCGTCAACTCAGCCCTTTGATGAAAACCTTGTTTGATTATTATGAAGAGTTTCAAATTGAATCATTGGGAATTTTTTCTAATATTCTGCTAAATGTTTGGTACTTTCAGTCCAGGTTACGATTATCATTTTGTCCCGTTTCCTTCCATAATTGTTCATTTTGACGGCTAGGGTTAACAAACCTTTCCAAAACTCCGGTTATGATTTATTTGCTTCATATTCAACATCAATCTAAAGGGCTACTTGTGATTCTGGAAAAGACACAAACGATGTCCAGTTATTGCTGAGTCGGTGCAAGTTTATGCATTGTGTTTTGAAAAGGCCACCACACACACACACACACACACACACACACACACTCCATGTTCAACACAAAATAGAATGTAATGCAATGTACAGGCTTGCAAATTAAACTTGATTTTCTGCACTGAAATCTGAAGCACAGAACTAGATGTTTTATCTGTTTTAAATACTTTAAACTGTTTTGATTTTTTGTCTAATTGTGTTTAATGATACAATCAAAGCATTGCATTTAACAGGGTTATGGTATTTATCATGCTTCCTTGTTAACTTGATTAGTTCTGATTTTTAAAGGTTATTTAAAAGTAGTCCAGAACAACATTTAGGAATGACCATGATTTATTTTGTAAAGTAACATTTTTTGTAAATATTCTTAATCAGTGATAACACTTATCCATGTTTGAAACAGACCTTTTGAATATACAGTACTTTTTTTAAAACTTGTATTTGTGTTTGTGTATCCATACCCATCTGCTCTGACCTCGTTTTTCTCCCAGTGACCTTAAAGAGAAGAAGCAAACACAAACTGCTGAGCTGAAAACATGTCCTTCAGCACAAATGTTTTAAACTCAGATTGTGCTGCCTTCTGCGACGTTGAACAAGTGATTGTAACATCTGTTGTGTTTTTATTTTAGTCAATATTAAAGATTTGGGTAAACATGTTTATTACTGGACGGTGAGCGTTGACTGCCTGTAAATTGATTAAAAGTTGTATTGCAGCACTTTTCATCTTCTAATTGCTGATTACAAAAATAAAAACAAAATATGTGGACTGCATTTTGTTGTGTTTTTGTCCTCAAGCTGTGCACAAAATAAATGCGAGAGAAATGAATTGGAAATCAGATGTTAACGATTTATTAAAATGCAAGTTATAATAGTTTAAAAGTTTTAAAATAATCCATTTTTTTTGCTTTGTTGTTTTCTTCAGATCCATATGAATTCCATAAAAATATGTATTTAGAAACTTTTTAGTTGCGTTACCAGGGAAAATAAAAGTTGGATTGTAATTTGTCTGCTCCAAACTTCAGATCTCACATTTATGATTCCTGTACATGTCCACTAGATGGCAGCATTTAAACAAGTTTGAACACTAGCTTTAGCAAACAGGGCCCAGTATAATCCATCTTGTTGGCCTAGACTAAAATATTTGACTAAAATGAAATTGATTTTTATGTAATTTAACACAAATAATGAAATATCCAGAGAATAAACCCCCTGGGCTTTGCTGATTCCCTGATCTTTTCCTTTTGGTGCCGATATAAAGGTCAAACCTTTGATTTATGAACAAACCCAAAAAGCAGATGGCATTTCCATCTGATTCTGCTGCAGTGTTTCTTTTTAATAATTACCAAATAAAACTATTATAATACAATTTAAAATGGCGAGCATGATAGATGACAAACAGAACATTTACATGTTAGCATTTTCACAGTGAGCGTGCAGATTTTGTCCTTTTTCTGCTCAGTTTGGTTGCTCTGCTTTTGGTGATTAAGCCTGTCAGAGATGAGCTATCATAATGTTTGTTGCAGTGATTTATTCTCCTGCAGTTCCCACTGACAACTTTGTTTTTGTCTCCTTATTGAATATGATTGATGAGCTCATGGAACAAATGTTTAAACATTCTTGGTGAATGCTTGTTTGCTTTGAGATTCAGCTCAGTCTTCCACATAATTCTCCGCTGCTGGGTGTTGAATTTAACAAGCTTGTCTCAAGTGACCTCCAGATCCTTGACTCCCAAAGGCGACTCCCCAGCAGATGAGCTTCCTTCCTGGGCCTGACTCTTTCCAAAGCAAACCCGTTCTGTGGTGTCCTTTATAGACACAAAAACAGGGTAATATTTATGCTGCATAGTTTACAAAGAAGCCAAGAAGTTCTTTTCTATCACCAACAGAAACAGAGGAAAAAAAACATTTTCTGTGCCCAGTAACCCTTCCTCCCCAACAGCAGCATGTGAAGTGACTACATTTTTTGTTTGTAGACTCTGTGGTTTATTTTCAGTGTGCAGGATTCATACGCCATATTTCCTAAAAGACATGTACATGGGGTTCAAGTGTCACTTTGCAGAGTCAAATACATAACCTAGCAGAGGCGTAATCAAGGGGTGGCCATGGGGGCAATGTACCCTCCTTTTATGAGTTTGCTGTGGGGCTCCAGTTATTACTGACTTGACAGTCTTACATACATAAACTGTCTGTTAGCAAAGAAAAAAAGAAATACTTTACGAAATTTAATGAAACTCAAAGAATAACTGCATAAGAGAAGAACCTTTGGAGTCAGTTTGATTTTAAATGGCTGCCACAGCTAATGGATCTTGTCAGGCACATTAAAAAAACAGGACTACAAGACAGTCAGTTTTATAGCTTTTGAGTAAAACATTTGGTTTGGATGCAGTTGAGAGTCATTCCCATCATAATCTCTGAGCAATAACAAGTTGCACAAGACATATGTTCTAAACTTTGGCTAAGGCAGCAGCTGATGCAGTTCTTCAAAAGAAATAGTTTCAGTAAGGATTTAAGAGAGAGGACCAGCTTCAGTGGGTTGAGTAGAGACTGTGCCGTTTTTAATTTGTGATATCAAATGCAAAATACCAAACTAGAGCCATCAGAAGGTGGTTATCTTACTTACATTCTGCAGTATTTTAATATAACACATACGGTATATAGTATATGACAAAAGCACATGAGACCCTCTGTGATTCTGTTATGGCTTTTTTTGTACACCATCCCATGATTAGCAGTGACCCCTATCTGGCCACCCTTTTGAGAACCTTTTGGAGGTGCCTCTGTTCCACCTTACACCAACTTTGACTCGAGAGGGAGTCTGCGTGGAATGACAGAAATGCTCAAACAGTGGTCTGACCCAGGTCATTCGCCTGTCTAAGAGTGGAATGTCAGTTATAACTTAGTTTATTTTATGTGTCTGAGCGAGGCACATCACTGTGAATCTCACCAGAGTGAGAGGGTCGACAGTCTTTTCTGAAAGTCATCATCCCTCAACCCGTTTGCTATCTCATATTGTGTATATGTATATTTTTTCTTTAAAGACTGGGTGAGATGCACATAAAACACACAAGATTTGAATTGTCTTTCATTTGTCTCTACACAAGCAAAAAACAAAAAAAAAAAAAACAACTACTGTGTCCCTCCTTTATCTTTTTTAATCTAAGCACATTGTTTTTTTTAATTGAAATAAATCACAAAGATAGAATATTGTTAGTGACAGTGTTTATTACACAGATAATTTGGTTTATTACGTCAATGCTGGAGATGAAATACACAGATTATAGGACTCAAGGAGAGATAAATTAGATGGAATTTAGCTTGGAGGCAAAGTATTAAAAAAAATCTGCCAGGTACATGTAATTCCTTGTTAAGACTTGACAATCTTTTCAGATATTTTTAGGAATAAGTATGTAAATGATGTTCACATGGTTCCGCATGTCAGGATTTTGCTTTATCTATTAAATCTATTCAATATGTTTCCTGGTAAATGTGCTTCCATTTCCTCAGTGACAACAGCAACGTCTCTACACCTGAACTACATGGAAAAGTAATTCCATATAAGGATTAAGTCGTTTGCTGGCCTAAATTTAACAGGATGTAATATTTTCTCTTTTAAAAGAGAGGAAATGATGCTAAATTTCCAAACTTGGCAAGTTCTGATGATTTTCCATTTGCCTGTTTTAGTGAACAACCCTTCCAGGTTTGCACTATTATTTTATGTGTGTGTGTGTGTGTGTGTGTCAGGCAGAATTCCCATTAAAATGAGTCACATGGTACACCAAACAGTAAATAAAGGCTTTCTGATGTAATTTCTATTAAAGTATCTCACCACTTTCCACTCAAACCTTCTCCTCTCTTTACACATGCTTCCACCGCTGCACTCACAGTCTTGACTGTTGTAGGAGGTACACGTGCCACTGACTTCTTCAGGAGAACAGGATCTGTCAGGCAAATTCCTTTGGCTCACATCACAGGAATATGGAACTTGTATTTATGGCTGAAGCGAAGCATGTCATCTCATCAAATTCTGATTTAGCAAGAGAATGACAGGCTCAGAATTATAAGAAGAACGTGGTGAGATTAGACAGGGAAGACAGGAAGAAACCAGAGGTGGATAAAATTAAAGGAAAATTAGATAAAGAAAAAAAAAGTTCATAGTTAAAGTTGCACAAGGGAGGGCCTATCTGTGAGCAGTGTAGTTTACATTGGCCTGTTCATTAGCCAGCCAGCAGTTGTTTGAAGACTTCTGTGAACTTTGCAGTTTAGAGAGTACATACCAGAGATTGCAGTCCATGGCTGAGAACAACTCTCTATCCATTTGGAATGTGTTGACATGTGGGTTGTTGTGTACCCTGTTCATGGAGGCATTTTGCTGTTGAAGACGTCTCAAATCCTCCAGCTGGCTTCTGAAAAAAGACAGACAGCAGCTGCTGAACCCCAAAAATTCAAATAATAGAACTTGAGTATCTGATAAGGGTTCAAAACAAGATGTTCTGCTTTGATTTATTCTGTTATGGTCCATACTTTTGGCCATGCTCAAAATAAGCAGCAAAATTTAAAAAGTAGAGGCCTTGCATACTTAACTTTTACCAGAGTTTATTGATTTACTTATACAAAATCTCTATTCCTTCAGTCAATGACCAGGTGAAGAATATGGTCACAAACGCTTCTTCTGTAATTGGAGCACACAGTAATAATAATTGTGGAATATTAATTATAATCCAACAATGTTCAGTCAGGTCATCTGGACGTTTTTGTATTTTTTTTTTTTTTTTTGTGCTGAGATGTTTCACCCTCCATCTGAAGGGCTTCATCAATCTGAGGAAACACCAAACAAAACTGATTCTCAAAACGGATTCTCCACCAGCAGCCTACTAAAATGTGAAGAAGAAAAAAACAGTTATATTGGTACTAAGATGGCCTCTGGTGCATGTCCTCTCCTCCGGTGGCCGCCCTCTCCCTCGTTGACAATCATGTCAAATTGGTTCAAAACACCAACGTCCATGCTCAGTAATCCAGGTATAAATTCCAACAATGTTCAGTCAGGTCATCTGGACGGTTTCTTTTTTTTTTCTTTTTGTGCTGAGACGTTTCGCCCTCCATCCGAAGGGCTGCATCAGTCTGAGGGAACACCAAACAAAACTGATTCTCCACCAACATCCTACTCCAATATGGAAAAGCATGAAGCATGAAACATTAATTATAAT